TTCCTGTTTCCTTGCGATCTGTCAGCTGGGAGTGACTCTCATTTCTGAGTCTACCTGAATTTCTTGGGATTTGGTCCTCTCCATGTTCAAAGTCAGCAACGGCATATTGAATCCTTCTCATGTTTTGAATCTCTCTGATTATCCTGCTTTGACCTCTAGACCCAAACTTAAAGGACTACTATGATTAAGTCACTTCCACCCAGATTCTCTGTTTTTGTTAAGATCAACTGATTTGTGACATTAATATCATCTATAAAATACCCTCACTGAAACACCTAGATTGGTGTTTGGGAGAAGGTGTATGCATACCAGAAAAGGGACTTTTTGGTGGGGAGAGGAGGTCATTTTAGACATTTTCTAACTCAATTGGTTTTCACTTTTGGACTCTACCTTAAATTCTAGACCAGTGATTTTCAGTTAAGGTCAGGAGCAATTGTGCTCCCTTCTCCCAAGGGACATTTGGCAGTATCTGGAGACATTTTTGGATGTCATCTAGTCGGTAGAGGACAGAGGTACTGCTAACCCACCTACGAATGTAAAGTAGAAGCCCCACAATAAAGAATTATCCAGCCCAAGATATTAGTGGTGCTGGGGTTGAGAAGCTCTGTCTTAAAGAAAGCATGAAAGACAATTATTATTACAGAACAGAATTTTAGTTATAAACCTCAGTCACGTAAATTTAAAAGTATAGCTGATATGACATAAGATGGAAGATGGAAGGATAAGAGGAAAAGAAAAGGAGTATGGGGTATTGTTACATATTCTAGAATTATTGGACTAATGAATGGAAGGTGGGTATATTATTCAAAGTTACAAAGATAAAAAAATAATAGTAATAAAACTATGAAGATGAGGAAGGAGAAGGGAAGGGAAATAGGGAGTTGTAAAAAGACAATAGATATTGCCTAAAATTGATAAAAATAAGATACTTTAAGCATGTCATTTGAAATTATGGGGGTAACCAGTGATGAGGTTCAGGATATGCTACCCCAAAATATGGGACCTTGACATACTGAATATTTTAAGCTGAAGGAGTCTGAGCAAATGGCAGAAGTGTCACTCTGACCTTCCCCCAACGCTTCTCACCTGAAATGGGTCATAAAACCCCCGGCGAAAGGTACTCTTATCATCCTTAGCTCCAAAGGTAAAAGGACATGGAGAAGAATCCTAACAAACAGGCCTTGCTAAGTTTCCCCCAGTGTGTTATACTAATATCATACTCTCATTCCTCTATGACTGTCCACTCTTCGTCAAACCTAGCCCAAAATACTCGGGTCTGCTTCTTCAGGTCTTCATTTCCTTATGAAGGCTTCCATGTCATGAAAAACTTATATTAAATCAATTTGTATGCTTTTCTCCTGTTAAGATGTCTTTGTCATTTTAATTTTAGGACCTAGCAGGCCCCCTAAGAGGACTGAGGGGAAACTTCCCTCATCTGCACCACAGAGGAACTAAAACCTGGTTCCTTGATGACATATACAAAGTTCCTAAGATTATGAACTTTCCCCCCTCCTTTTGGCTATATAACAAACTGTTTTAATCCGCAGTCGTGCCTTATGGTTCCATTAACTGTATTCTTCAATCAAATCTTTGTGGTTAAAACAAACAAACAAACAAAAATGGCTAAAAGAGATTACCCCAAAGAAGTAGGTCTGGGAATTGGAAGGATAGAGTGAGATGATGTTGTTTTTCATTATAAATTCTGCTGTACTAATGATTTTTTTTTAACTACACACGGTATTACTTTAATAAAAATATAACCTAAAAAAAAACTTAGAGAGTTAACCTAGATGATCTACTCATATATAGTACAGTAATGGTATTAGTGACACGATAATGTTTTTAATAAGCACACGATAACCTGTAAAGTAGAATTTCTTTAAGAAGCTACACATGGCCTTTATACAAAGTTTTAATTATTTGCATTGTAGTAAAATAAAATATGAAAAATATAGCATTTAAACCTACTGTCGTTATAACTACACAAAAGTTGTATAGTATTATGGTTCTAGACTGGGAGAGACAAAGTTGAAAATAATTCAAGTCACTGGTTGAGAGGATTAGAGACTAATGTCTTTATTTTATTAATGTTGGTTATTATGATTAATTTCAAACCTTGGGATTTATTTCTGTTACTCTCATTATTATTTTACTTTATTAATTATTTCTTATCTAATGTTGCGTTCTTTGGCTTTTAGAACCTGCAGTTTGATGATAATTGGATGATGACAGTACTACAAGATTAAAAAGGGATATTTAGTACTATAGTCTATCTGAATGTTGTGTCCCCCCGTAATAGCCTGCTGAAATGTGAAAGGGTTAAAGGATAATTAAAACCTGAAACCGGACAAAGGAAGTCTATACCTTAGGCCTAGTTTCTGGAACCCCTAACCGCATTCTGTTAATCATGAAACTTGTAACAATGAGCTCATACGCTAACTGCCAATTTTAGCCTGCTTGCTTGCGTGGCATGAAAAATAATCAATTTTATGTAAGCTGAAAATTACTGTTTGGCCATCGCCCTTGGGAACACTGGCTATTGCCCATGGGAACATAGGCAATCACCCATAGGAACATAACATTCTAACAACAAGCTTTCTGCTTCTGTACTCCCCGCTTGCACACCTGACCAGTGGGTTGACAGGTAGTGAATAGGAGAAAGATGGACCTTTGTGTTTAAGACAGAATGAGGAATAGGATTTAGGGCTTAAAAACCTTGTATCTTGGCATTTTGGGGCTGCTCCTTTGGAAGGACAGCCGCCGGCTAATAAACTGCCTCTATAATCAAAGCACTCAGGTTGAGTCTGGTTATTCCGGTCACAACACCCCTAAAACTTGTATGTTGAAATTCTAGGGCCTTTGCAGGGAGCCCTCATGAATGGGATTAATGCCTTATAAGAGAGACCCCAGAGAGCTCCTTGGCCCTTTCCACCATGTATGGGCACCGTGAGGAGTCAGGGGTCTACAACCCAGAAGAGGGTTCTCATCAGACACCGAGTCTGGGAAGCCACGATCCTGGAATTCCCAGCCTCCAGGACCATGAGGAATAGGTGTTCGTTATTTATAAGCTGCCTGGTCTTTGGTATTTTGTTATAGCCACCAGAACTGATTAAGATATTTAGGAACCATTTTCCTCAGATTACCTATATTACTGTATTATCATAGTAAATAGCATGATGGGGTTGAGTGGAAGAATGCTGTATTTTTTAACAAAATCTGTCTTTAAGTTGAAAAGAAGAACCTGGAGAGGGACGTTTTGCAAAACAAAGATTATGAACAGTGTTCAATTTCCTCCATTGCCTAAGATTGTGAAACAATAAAATCAGGTTGTGGCCTGTTTTAATTTATCAAGATAGTTATTGCCAGCATCAACATGCCAAGTAGCAGCAGGTTTTACTTCTAGACTCCCCAGTAAAATTGTCAACAGGCATCCTCAACCCCTTTGTGAAGCACCCCAGGCACAGATTTCTATCTGAATTCCTCTCCCTCTGCCCCACTTTTGCGTCCACACTTTCTAAGGCCCGCTGCTGGGGCTGATGGAAAGATTTGAGACCTGGGTACAAGGCTTATCTCTGCCACTTACTGTGTGTCCTTGAGCAAATCATTTAACCCCTATGAGCCCTCAGGTTTCCTCATCTAAAAAAGTGAAACTATCAATATAAAACTCACAGGATTATTGGTGAGAATAAATAAATCGCATGCTAAATTAGTGTCAATGAGCGGTGTTAAACAAAGGCCTCTTGGTGACATTTAACCTACATCAGGCTCAGCACCTCCATGTGTCCCATCATTACCTTCAAGTCATCCTGGGACACCACCGCCTTGGACTGGCCAGCAGGGAGGCACAGGACACCTGACACCCGACAAAGCGGACACTATGCTCCTGCCATTTAATGGCTGTTTACAAAAATCAGGTCTTACTATACACCTGAAGCTTCTGTGGACAATGAGGAGGCAAACAGGAGAGTGATGCAATGGTTATCGACCCACAAGGTATGAGAAAGCTGGGTTAGGAGTTAAAAGCTGTAGGATCTTCATTTAGGGAGAGCGGAAAATCATTCCACATGGTATCCAGTTTCAGACCCCTGCTCCAAGAACTGACTGTGGGGTGTAGATGGCTCCTGGAGCAAAGCATTGTTTTTCAGCATCAGAATTAATCAATTCAAACAATGGTAGTTATTTTATTTTATTTTATTTTTACTTTTATTTTTTTGTTGTTGTTAATGGTAGTTATTTTAAAGTGATGTTTTAAAATGATATTCAGCTAAAACTTTTCTACGTAGAAAATAAACTCCAATGTTCATAAACTCTAAATAATGGAATAAGAAATATATAAATTCTCACAGGAAGCATTCTTACTGAAAATGTTAAGCCTGAACATGATCATGAGAAAACTCAGAATGTGAAATAGATTCTGGCCTAGACTCTTTTTAAAAAAGTCTATGCCATAGGAAGAAAGAAAAAAAGCAGAGAGACTTTCTTAGATTAAAAGATACTAAAGAAATATAACGATTAATTGCAATATGTGAACTTTGATTGAAAAAATTTTATATATATATATATAAATTATATATATATAAAT